TACAATTAGATAGGTACTTATATGTTTTGCCATAAATATGAAAGAGCGGGTAATATTATATGTGTAAAGATATGGATAATGTAAATAATACTGAGATAGTCTTCGAACGCAGGCATAAGTGGATGCACGGGTGGACATGAGGATAGTGATATGTACAGGTGTAGATATGTGTAAGTGCAAATTAACGCATATGTGTGTATGTAGATATGCTGCATATTACGTATGTATATGCATGTATGTGTGTGTATGTATATATGTGTGTATGTATGTATGCATATATGTGTGTGTGTATGTGTATACATATAGGTGTGTAAATATATATGTGCGTATGTATATGGATGTATATGGATATACAGGTGTCCTTATGTGTATATGTATATATGTAAGTATAAGTGTATATGGAGATATGTATGGAGATATATGGATATGCGTTTTCTCTGCAGGTGTATATGTGTAAATATGGAAATATACATATGGTTTTTTCGTGTGAATGTGTGTGCAGGTGTATATAGGAACTCATAGGCATATAAGAAGATATAGGTATGTGGATATAAATAGGGGTTTAAGAGATGTGTAGATAAAAGATTGTAAAAGAAGGACCTAATTTTCTGCTAGTGACATCTCATCCAAATCTCTCCTCTAATATTCTCCAATTGGAAGTGAGTTTTAAATAGCACGAAGGTAAAGTTTAGATTGGTATTTTAATTGAGATTGAAATATACTACCCCATTATTGATGATAAGATTATTTAAATGGGAATACCATTGATAATTGGGTACATAAAAACAATCACGAGTTTACTTAATGAACAAAAATCAAAAACAATCACGAGTTTACTTAATGAACAAAAATAAAAGGAATAGATGTCAACCTAACAAGCAATAAGATAAAAGTTTTAGTAGAATAAAAAAGATTACTAAATATAAAATGGATTACTCTTTCAATGTGCTGTCTATGAATTTTTCAGTAACGCGAATTAACAGCGTCTAAGAATTTGAATGAAACCTGTCGTGTAATTGATTGGGGTTGTTGTAGCTTCTTCCTTTAATGTCGGTCTTATATCTAGAGACGAGACGCGTTAAATTTGAGCAACATCTAGCCGCCACACTGGGGTTAAAAACAGGAAATTGAAATGATACTATACTTGATGAGGTCCGTCAAAAACGAGTGAATTTCTTTTCATTTTTCATTTCAGCTTTTGGAAGTAAAGTCTGATGATCCAGAAGCCTGTTAAAGGGGTTATGGTGAAATAGCTTATTACATGGAATCTTAACGTGGTCTGTTTTTTATTCAAACATATCTGCTCCGAATTTTACATTGAGCTCTCTGGATATCATCCTCCTCAGGTCTACCCATACGAATTACCTAAGTTTGCATAAACTATATATATATATATAAAATAATAAAATATATATATATATATATATATATATATATATATATATATATATATATATATATATATATATATTAATAAATATACATATTATCACTCACCGATAAAAATGTAGTTTCAAGCTATGCTATATTTATCGTTCAATATTAGAATAGAGAGTATGTAAATATAAAATTGAACTCTGAGGTCAACACCAAGAATGAACTGAAGATTGCGTTTAAGCAAGAAACAGACAATCGCCGCTTGGTGTTGACCGCAGTGTCAACTCCTATACAGATGTCTATATATAAGTAGGTATTCATGTGTGTATATATATATATATATATATATATATATATATATATATTAGAATGTAAAAGAACGTAATATAACTTCAAACGTTCATAATATTAATTTAAAAAAGTGCTCAACACAAGAAGTAGAGCAACAACTAAGTATTATAAACTGTTACATTGGAATATGCAAGTTACCGCGACAAAAATGCATATTTGTTTCGACGTGATAAGAAACGATTTTATTTAAAAATACAATTTATGAAACATCATTTTAAATAAAATCGTTTATTACCACCATTCTTAACCGCGTGACGGTAATTGCATGTTCTAATGTAACAGTTTATAATATATATATATATATATATATATATATATATATAGTCAGAAGATTGCGTTCAAATGTTATAATATATTTAATTTTTGAATTTGTAGGTCTGATGAATTGGATCGTGATTACGATTCCAATGTAATAAATTTTAACCATGTGATATTAATATTTGAGCCTTTTATATTATATTATATTATATTACATTATATATATATATATATATATATATATATATATGCGCGCACGCGTGTGTGTGTTTGTGTGTGTATGTGCACGCGTGTGTGGAAAGAGAGATATCGACGGAGAGAAGGTAGTGAATCGAATTAGCCGTGGAAGACGATATTGTTGAAACATAAATTGAAATCAATAGAAACCAACATATACACGGGGGAATTTATTGAACTGTCAGTTGATCGAAGATAAATCGAACCGCAGAGCCAGTGATTTTAAGTAGATCAACAGACCTACATAGACGCCCACTACGATCGGCGGCAATTAATTCTGTAGTCGATAAACAAAGAGTTTGATAAAAAGTAATTGTACATAGATATTTACGAATAGACCTTGATCGATATATCGATCGACTGGAACGGGGTAGGATGGATAAAAAATGGTAACAAGTGCATAACAAGGAAGGCCCACAAATCTAAAGAGGGGGGGATATATATGAAGATATGATAGATATAAATATGGGACAAAAACAGAATTTTCTCTTAACTAGCTTCATTAATTTTAGAGCAAAAATGGAATATTGCTTCCATATCTGGATTGGAGCTACTCAATCCTCCCTTGACAGAGTTCAAAATTCATTAAGTGGTCTTTTAGAGAAATACATTCTCAAAATTCGAAATTTTAAAATTCTTTATGTGATTTTGTAGGGAAACATTCTCTACTGACGCAATGTTGAAAATCTATCACTACTCTACCGTTGTTTCCAGAACAAATATACAGATTTGACTCATTCTACTATTCAAAGAGATTTACAAGAATATATATATATATATATATATATATATATATATATATATATATATATACGTTTGCGTGATATATATATATATATATATATATATATATATATATATATATATATATATATATAGAGAGAGAGAGAGAGAGAGAGAGAGGGTGTGATGGATCTATTTTAGCAAAAATTAAAAACCAATAAAATTTCTTTCTTAATATTTTTTTTTACTTAGGTTTTCTATTTTCCTGGTTTATGCCTTACGGCCGCATCATGTAAAAACAACGGTTCCTGTACGATCACCAGTTAAGCAACGTCGAGCCTGGTCAGTACCTAGATGGGTTACCGCATGGGAATACCCGTTGCAGTGAGTTGGATGTGCGGTTAGTATAATGGATAACGGCACGGAATTTACAATTCCATTTGGTTGCTCTAATGCTGAAATACCCTTGCTAAATGTCTGAATCCACTTCTTCTCTCCTCCCAGCTATGGGTAAATTAGTAACTAGATCAAGTAAAATCATTTTTATCTAAAAGAAATTCTTCCAATTTAAAAATATTATCTGGCTTTAAATAACCTGGAAAGGGTTGATAAGCCCTAGAAAATGAACCAATCAACAATTTTCGTATTTTACAGTGTGAATTTAAATATAACTGGTCTAATCTTTAAGAAACTTCGGCTTTCAGAACTTATTATCTAATAGATTATTTCGTAATATGCTGTCGAAATATATGCATTTCATATATATATATATATATATATATATATATATTTATATATATATATATATATATATATATATATATATATATATATATATATATATATGGATGTACCAACCAACCCTTTTCAATGTATGGAGGTATTTTCGACATTAATTTTTCTGAATTGCGTGTGGGAACTGGTATGTTTTTGTAAATGTTTAGAAATAACACGTCCAATATTACTAAACATTTACAATAACGTACCTGTTCAAACTCACAATTCTGAAAAATCTTCGTCGAAAATACCTCCATACTTTTCCACGAATAGAATAAACACAAACATAAATTCTCGAAGCTATTTATATAAAAAAATATAAACCAAACCTCATTAAAATTAATTACGAATACTCCACAAACATTTTAAAATGTGTACAATAGGTAGTCTTTAAATGTTAGTGCTTGTCATTAGTAGTTTTGTCTTATCTAACAACTACTCAATTTTTCCACAGCATATTTAGTTACTTCTCTTTAAACGGTGTCTACCAGCCTGATTCCCCATATAAAAATGGTAATTTTCGGATGACAACAACAATTTTTGACCTTCACAATCATTCTTATTGTATAATTAACAATACCCTGATGATGACATTATGCTATGTCGAAAGTACTCGGAAATAAACACAATATGAGCCAAAACGGTGTTTTCCTCCTGTCTTTTAATAACCACACAAAAAGGCTTATCCGCGAATATGAAAGGATCCTATCGAGAATAAGTACAGAAATAAGTAAAAAAAAAAGAAGAAAGAAAATGTAAAAGACTTAAGGCAAATACCTACTTACTCAGTAAAGTGCTCAACTGGTAGATTACCTAGACAGAGCAAAAACGTCTGATACCATTAATTCTATCGTTGTCCGATGATCTTGAAACGCGGGTTACGTCTAGGGTCATCCTTTCATAGGAATTAACGTTGTCAACTATATATATATACATATATATATATATATATATATATATATATATATATATATATATATATATATATGTAACTATACTCGTTTGAAAGACCTTCGAATTTTTGATTTGCCAATAATCAAATCAATCACGATGGAAAAATGGTTTTAAAAAAAGAAAGAGCTAGAAACATGAAAGTCTGTCGAAAAAAATCGCACAGATACAGGTTTAAAGCCCAAAAAAAAAAACCGACACGAGTAAACAACTAACTAACAAAAGAGCTCAATACCACCGTAGAGCAGACCTAGATAAACCTAGTGAGCCAGACAAACCTATCCAGGCTTCACCTCAGCGGATCCGCTTAGGTGAAACCTGGTTAGGTTTGTCTGGCTCACTACGTTTATCTATCTATCTATCTATCTATCTATCTATCTATCTATCTATCTATCTATCTATCTATCTCTCTCTCTCTCTATATATATATATATATATGTATGTATATAATAAAAAGGCTTACTCTGTCCTGGACATTGAGTTCTACCTGGATTCTATCCTCTTTGAATTATTTTTATACAAATATATATGTATGTATGTATATATATTTATATATTTTAGATATATGATTGCATATGTATGGCCACTAATATTATCTATCTATCTATCTATCTATCTATATATATATATATATATATATATATATATATATATATATATTGAGCCCAAATTTTATTACTCCCTTCTAAATAAGTTGTTAATCCTATCAGATTCTACAGAGCGAAATTATTCCAACACATCTCATTAATGCTCAATGTTAATAAGATATGGAGAGTTTGGTGGCCAGAGTAACAGACTAGATATTTCTTCATATACCTAATATTTGGAGAGCACGGCAGAATATCCTGTTCAAAGGTTCCATTGAAGTGGTGTATCCTGTCTTCAATGATGTTAGGTGCTACTTAACACAGTGCCTTCCACATAACGTAGTGATTGTGAGTCGACGGTTACTCAAAACATCACACCCGTTTGTTGTCTTGCCATCGTGGCTCCAGCTGTTATAATTTTCTGTGAATAACGACATGTACTTTGCTGCTCAAATAATTAACGAAAAGCTATTTTAATCAAAGCTGGTGTCCTTCTTCAGTTGTCAAATAAGGATCCAGTCCGTTCCCTAGCAACAAGTAAAGAATTGACGCAGTAACAAGATGTTACATTACTTTCGGTTAAATTATCTTATGTCTGTCACAAGTAGCAGTTGATCTGATATTCATTGCGTTTGATAATCTCCCATGGACTTCAAACTCTCTTTTATCAGGCGTCAGAAATCTTAACCATCCATTCGCGAAGATAATTCTACTTTTGCTGGGCTAGTATTTCTACTTTTTGTAACACAATTTTTGAGCACAAACCTTCTGTGGAGTGGGATGGGACTTATCACTGCTTCATCTCTTCGCTTATGTTTGTATCATAATCAGAAAACCACTTTCCGAAATTTCAACAGAAATCAGTGTCTTTTAAAGAGAACTCGCCTTAGTAACATCGGCCACGTTGAAAAATATCGATGAACGGCCATGTTTTCTTGTAATAAATATCCTTAGACCATTGCTTTATAATCTGGCAGCAGACAATTTAATCAAGTCACTGAGAGGAGGAAGTAAGTATGATTCGACAGCGATCTCTATTTCAACTTCTGCTGTCCCGTTAATCGGGTCACTAGAACAAACCGGACGCTGTAATGACCAATTATAGTTACAACGCGTTCACATCTCGAAAGGTTGATGCAAAGCAGGCGCCATTGGAAACTTCATTGATATTAAATTGTGTATGAAGCTTGTTAGGAGTGAACGGGCGAGTAAAGGGAAGAAAGAGTACAAGGGAAGCAGTAAGAAAGATGAAGAATTCAAAAGAGGAAAAAGAATAGAATAGATAAATGGAAGTAAAAACGAAAAGGACGAATTGAATAAAATGAACAGAAGACAGATAGAAAAACGAAAGGAATAAAATTTACCAGTGACTGTGTCTTTTATTTTCTTTATTTTAAATTTTCTTTCATTTCTTCTCATCTTTTTTTGTCAGCGTCATTATCAACATCATTATTTTGATTGTTGTAAAATAATACGCGAAATCTTATTAATAATAAAGTATCAGTTGTCAGTTCATCATTCTTGCAATTACAAAGTTTGATGTTTTCCGCAAACTATTAGATTGTTAGGTGCCGCTTCCTGGCATCTCTCGAGGAAAATCAACTTCATGGCATGTCTCCAAGTAAGAAGCGATATGCTAGCATTAAGGTATAATCCCTGATTTGACCTACTATCGAATGCCCAGAATGAATCCCCTTTACAAGAGTAAAGAGCTCCAACCGCTTTGCTAATTACATGCAACAGGAGATAGGGAGAAATAGCTCCATCCTTTTCCGAGGGTATTAGTGTAAAGTGAACCAAACTTACCACTCGTAGTTTGAATATGGTTCACTGTGCCGTTTACCACTCGGAAAAACGTATCTCAGCTAAGCCCCAAACCAATTGCATAGTGTATAAAAAAAGATGGGATTTACATGGGTTTGAACAGTAACCACTGGCTTGTCTTTTTTTAACTTGCGTCAACCTACAATCTCCCTTGTGGTTATTCAGTTTGCTGTTATACTCAATTGGTTTTTATGAGCGTCGCATTCACAACAACGAAACGTACTGAGTTGCAAAGTCTTTTGCATTTATTAATGGTACGATGATAGAGAAAAGTTAGTCAGTGAGTTTTTTTTACATGTCATTCTACTAATGATATTTTCTGTTTCATTCTACTAACGATGTTTTGTTTCATTTTTAGTTTCAATACAGGAAAAAAAGCAGAGAAATTAATAGGAAATTATTTCACTATTTCTTCAGTAATTCGTGACAATTGCGAGATAAAAAAAATATGTAATACGTGGTGAAATCGAAATCGCCTACTCCTGGGGAGATGTGACCCTTAAAATCGTATGTCCATTTTGGATGGTATGATTTCAAACGCTTCAACCATCGTGTGAGCAATTAAAACTTATAGTATAGAACCGCCAATGTTTGAGCTTGAGTCGGTGTAACATACAATAATAAAGATTCACTATGGTACGAGAGTCTGGGAGTTATTAGATCATGTACATTCGATAGTCGGGATTGTCATTTTGAAGAATTTTACCGATGAGGACGTCTAGGGAGTATACACTACATTCGCCAAGAACCAGTATCACTTACTGCCCTAAATAAATTTTGTCTTTTTGTTATCTCACAGTTCTACCACCCATTTACTCAAGTTCGCTAGACAGTTTATGCATTGTTTTATCTTGCCTTAGATTCTCAAATATATATATATATATATATATATATATATATATATATATATATATATATATATTAAGTACGCAATAAAATTACCTCATATGGGGAATAGGCTTATTTCAATCGACGAAAAAATTCGTCAGTCTTATTCAACACTCTTATAGACCGGTTTATACCGGGGTATAGACAATATATAGATCAAAAATATTTTAAAAGTGAATTAAAGAAAACTTTAAACATATAGATCGCATACAATTAATTAAAAATATAGATCATGCAAAATAAAATGCAACTGTTAACTAAAGGGTCTTATATAGGGTTTTAATAAAACCAATCAATGGAAAATGTCAAAATGTCAGCCAAACGCATATACCTCTAGACTAAATATTACCAGCAGTGCTAGAAGAATAAAGTACAAATTATACTACGTTGAAATTGATCTTGATGACAAAAGATAAGCTTTATATAGTGCAACAATGTTATTCGAAGTAATAAGAAGAAGCAATTGTCAAATTACAAATTAGCAAGATTGTAGGGTCAAAGGTGTGATGTGCTTACAATTAACCGTTAATTCAAATCATTGATTAAATAAATCATCCGTATTCAAAAACCAGAAAATCTGCATTGATTCCTGTAAACACAGAAAACAAGGCTCGTATAACTATCTACACGTCCTTGCCAGTTTTAAAAAAAATCTATTTAACGTTGGGTTTTTCATTTTTCAACTTCAAAAAATATTTTGAAAATAAAGCATCATTTTTATAAGTAATATTAGTAAGAGAAAATATGTGCTGATACCATCGGGTTTAGAATGAATTCTTAGTACTACCAATATAAAACTTTTCAAACCTCGGATCTTCTATTGAAGAGATAGAACAAAGATACACAATGGATTCGGTTAAACATTGTTTAGCCAGTGGGTATTGGTTAGGATTCCTACAATTTCATTGGTCACTATCCTTAATAATATTTTTACAATTGCTTGAATCATGATTAAAATTATCAAATCCGTTCAGAGTACTATTGTTGTAAAACTTTATTATTTTCTGGAGATTAACTTCTTTCTTATACTTACTTCTTATTCTTCCTTTTCTCTGGAAGAGAGATTTTATCTTGTGTCTTTCTTTCTTATTCTTTGTGTTTTCATTTTTTGCATAAAAAGAGGTTGTATGTGTTTTTAAAATTTAAATTTGAATAAATTGTCTACTTACCAGTCATCTACTAATGCCTGATGAATTGTGTTAATAGGCATCGAAACATGATTGCATTTGTGTAGCGTTATTCACAAGTTTTGATGTAATACCCTAAAATAAAATGTATATATATATATATATATATATATAATCGCAGTAGTATCTGGTAAGGGTAATATATATGTGTGTGTGTGTGTATGTACGCGCGCGTGTGTATGTGTTATGCGCTCACGTCAATTCGATGTCATATTGACGCGCATATCCAACAGGCTGTTAACACCGACTCTCTTCATAAATCTGGCAGCGTACCAATGTGAATTCAATCTACCAAAATCTATGGATCCGTGGATGCACAGGACCAGGGTCTACGTGTTTTCAACTGCCTGCGTTTGATTGAAAGAATTCTTAGAAGATGAACATTTAAACTGTCATATGGACCAATGCCAAATTTTTTTTTATAGAAATGAAAATCGACGGAAGAAATGACAGTTTGCATAAAAGGAGAAGGCAATCAGTCATGAAGAGGCGCGCACACAATTTTGATCTCAACTGAAATGGCGTTCTTAGCTCTGTGTCTTAAATAAATTTTCGGTGGAGTAATTATAACTTAATCTTAATTAAAGGCAATTACTTCATTAAAGAGTTCGGCTCTCATTGCTCTCTCCACCTTTGCGGCCTCTTCTAGTTTCGTAAAGGCCAGTAAATTAAATTTGATTGGTTAATCTGTGAACAAAAATGGCATCGCTGTTGATAAAGGAAAGGTACACCTTGTCCGATTTTATTACACATGGAAATATTTTCGCAATTAAATTGATATTAACTAACTGATGTTGGCAAAGCTTTCTCGATACACTTATATTTATACGATCAAAAGAGAGGGTAAGTTTTAGCTCTTAATACATTTATGAAAGATTTTGAAGAAAATTATTCTTACGAGTGTCAGGTTTTATTATAGAAAGTATAATAAAACCTGACCGTCGTAAAAATA